CTCACTGAAGTTCTTTCGCCATTCTGACCATAGTTGCAAGAAGATGGAGTACTAGGCCAACCTCTTCCTCTTTTGCACCCTGTAGTTCATCGTGTTCCTCATCCTCTTCTTCACTTGCTGACTTTGTCTCAGCCATGTTAGAAACGTGTTCAGGCTTATAGCCCCCTTCCTCAGTGATGGACTTGAACATGTCCTTCATATACTCCTCAGTTCTAGCTTGATCTGCAGAGACAGCTGCTCCATGCAGAGAAATGCTCTTGAGCCCAAAGCTCTTTGAACTTTGTCAAACCAGCCCTTGCTGGCACTGAATGGGTTTGGTCAACTGTCCTGCTTGTGCGAGGTCATCCTCCTCTTCATCCTTGTCACCATTATGAACTGTGCTTTCCACAAAACTATCATAAAGTTTCTTGGCCTTCATCCAGATGGTATTGGTATCAAGTTGGCAGTCATTTATACACAAGTCCAATGCAGATGCCATCCTCACAATGGCTTTATTGTGGGAAGTGACCGCCCTGTTTGCAGTCTTGTTAAAAATCATTGTTGCTGTAGACCTAATATTCTTCCAGTCTTTCTTTGTGTAGCAAACATTTTGTTGATCCCATAATGGTGGTCTGTAGCTGGGTAGCTTTTGCCTTCCTTTAACATGTTGAGAAGTTCCACTTTTTCTTTGATGGCAAGCATCTTCCTTGGTACTTAGGTTCACTGAGAAGCCTTGGAAGGTGCAGAATGTTTGGGTGGCATCCTAGGGCTTGAAATAAATTCAAACTTTTATGGAAATTTCACAAAACACAACACCACAGAGCAACACAACATGCAGCAATCAGATCGATGTGAAGTGGACAAGGAGAGATGCTGAAGGTATGGGCACAGTGCCTGGAAGCAAGTAGACAAGTCACTGAACCAATCAGTGCCTCTCCAGGATACAGAACAGTGCTATGGTTGGTCACCTTCCATTCCATCAGCCAATATTGTGCTGTGTACAAGCTCACATTGGCAAACTTGTGCAAGCAGTAGTGGCATACTGCATTTCTATTGTGTACAGGATGGTATTCATCACTGATAAAATACATGCTGTATTTTATTTTGATTTAAAATTCTTTTTAATATGCTTGAATTAACATTTTATATTGTTTTTAAATTTTTAGGCAAAAATAATTAAAATAACAAATATTGTATATACTGCAAAATCCTGCAATATAGCAAAAACTCCATGATACAGAAATATATATACATATATATGTATGTATATATACATACATATATGTGTATGTATGTATATACACATATATGTATGTATGTGTATATATGTATATGGTTCAAATGGTAGAGAGTTAGCCTTGAGCATAGAGAAGAGGCTCAGGGACAGAGCCCAGGCCCTGAGAGTTCAAGCCTCAGGACCAACAAAAAACCAAAACAAAAATTAAAAAACAAACAAACAACGGCCAGCAGCTGGTGGATTACACCTGTAATCCTATCTATTCAAGAGGCTGAGATCTGAAGATTGTGGTTTAAGCCAGCCAAGACAGGAAAAATCTGTGAGACCCTTATCTCCAATTAACTACAAAAAGCTAGAACTATAGCTGTGGCTCAAGTGGTAGCACGTGCACACATGCGCATGCGTGCACACACACACATACTCAGAAAGGGAGGGCAGTTAGAGAAAGGGAGAAAGGAGAAGTATCTTCTGTGCAATGAGGATATATAAAATAATATGCCCACTAATAGTGTCCAAAAACACTCCAGATGCACATTAAAAGTCAACTTAGAGTCATAATTTAATTGACTCAAAGTTTACTTGTAAGGATGACAATGATTGTTTCTGAAATTAGCAGTAGAGATTAGAGAGTCCATGTATCCTAAGCTGGCTTTGATTTCCCCTAGATATGGTTTTCCTAGAGGTTTCTTCACTGGTAAACGCAAACATCTTAGAGTCTTGTTGATTTAGAAAGCCTTGTTATTTGCTTTCCTGGCTTGTAAGCTCTGTTTGAACCCCTACAACTTTACATAATTGGGCCAAACTAGTTTTCTCTTAAAATGGATGCATGGCAGCTCTGATCAAGATTATGTAGAGTCCACATTTCACAACATTGTATCAATGATGAGTCACATATGGCTCAGTTCAGTCACATTTATGTAACAGGTGATGTCTTTCTCTGAATTAGAGTTTCCTCAAATCTCTGTCTTTTAGGTTTTGCTGTGGATACTGCCACTCTGTCTAAAGAAATAAATGATTTAATAATGAGCATGTTCTTTGAGATCTGCGACTGTGACAGTCCCAAGTCACTGAGCTTGGACCCAGTCAGCTAACAGGTCCCTGCCAGAAGAAATAACAGAACCCACACTTGGCTGTGTGCTGGGGCCTGGCTTTCAGCCACTGTGATCTGCATGTTCAGATAGTGAGCAATTAGATAAGCCTGTTAAGTCTTATGTCTTCATTATTGATTTATAGTATGAACTCAGCATGATTATTGAACCAGACCAGCCAGTGAAATAATCAAGTCATTGATCCTGTCATAGGCATGTATTTCCAATTTAGATGTGAAGAGGAAATACATGGATATTTTATTATTTCTGGTATTTTGTCCAAGGGCTCACACAGAGATTTGGAGAATTTATTGCTCCCACCTCCTGACCTTTCTTCATTCCCATCCCTTCTCTAAGAGTACTTCCTGTTCTGGCTCTACAGAATTTGCTATGATGGACATGTTCTATTCTCTCCCATATCATAGCTAATCACATGTGTCTGTAAAGTGTTTGGAATGTGACTGGTGTGAATGGGGAAAGGAACTTTTTATTTCATTACATTTTAACTAATTGAAGTTTAGTGGCTACCCATTGGAGAGGGCAACCAGCCCTCTGTCATACTAGACTTCTTGTCTTCCAAATTTTTGGTGGTTAATTAGAGATAAGAGTGTCACAGACTGTCCTACTTGGGCTGGTTCAAATTAGAATCCTCAGATTTCAGTTGCCTGAGTAGCTAGGATTATAAGCCTGAGCCGCTGGCACCTGGCTGAACTGTCTTCTCTTAAAAGAATTTGAGAGAGACACATGTTTTATCTCATATGTGGAGGCTAGATCTAATTTATAAATATGCAAATAAACATATACAGGGATGTATATAAGAACTCACAAATATATTAACTAAAGTATGATATATCAGGGGAGAATTCAAATGGTGTAATTCCTTAGAAAACTCACAGTATGACAAAATAAATACCAGGAAACTGGTCCTGGAAAGGTGTGGGAGGGAGGTCAGGAGAGAGGAGCTGATGAGAGAAGAGAGGAAGAGGGGGATGTAGGAATGACATTCAGTGCATCGTTATTAAAACAGGGAAATTGAGGGGAAAGGTGGGGGTGGGAAGGAAGAGTGATGAAAGGGGTGATATCAACCAAGAAACATGGATTAACTGATTTGTTGAATGGTACTCCATTGTGCAACTACTTAAAGATAGTAAAATGTAATTTTAAATATTTAAGAGGTCCAGGAAAAGGCATTAAAGCAAACAAGGAGATATATTTTTGAAATTTTTCGAAAATAAGATGTACCATTCAAGTGCACATATTTACATTGTTTGGTATATATACATTCACATTTTTTCTTTTAATATTTTTAAATATACAAAAAAAGGACTTACAACATTTCCATATGTGCAAGATAATGAACTTTCATCATGTCCTCCTCCTCTTGTTTTTCTTATGAAGCAAGCTGAAGGAACCATATTCTTAACTTCCAGAGACTGGAATTCATGTTCCATCTGAGTATTTTTATGGTTCCATATTGCTATGGTCCCATAAGTCAGAAGAGAACTACTATGCCATGAAAAATGTTTTTTAGTGCTAGCAATACACCTTTAGCTACTTTCATGTAATATTAACCAATTAATAGGGCAAAAATAAGAAAAAAATCTGCATACCTGGACAATATAGATTTCTCAATTTATTAAAAATTTTTTTATTAGAAAGAGGGCAGAGAGGTGGAACAAGAATGGAGGGAGAGAGGATGAGTAAAAAGTAAACTGTAATGTGTGTGTAGGAATGGGAGAGGGAAAAATGGGGAAAAAATGAAAATGACACTGATCAAGGATTGTATTCATAACTGGACTTATGGAATTGTAACACCTTTCTACAACTTCTTAATAGTAACAAAAACAAGTTTATTAAAAGCTTTTTGAGAATATTTATAATGCCACATAGTCTTCCATTATTTGGTATTTGTTAATGTCATTCTTTTTAGGGACCTTCTACCTCAGGAGCTCAGCATATTCAAAGGATAAAAGGAAAGAGATTTTTAAAAATATAGTTGAATAATGGAAAATATGACCTTACTTTTCTCTATTTACAGATGGCTCTTGTGTTTCACAGGTAGGAAATCTTAGATGTGACGTGTTCATTCATTGTATTATCTTGCTGGATCATGCTATGTCAGCAGAAAGTTAGAAATCCAATTCTTTATTCATTCACAATAGAATTCCATTTTATTTATTGAGGAACTTACCAGTCTAGAGGTACTGATTTACTTTAGGAGACTCCAGCTCCACTTCATTAATTTTTATTAGGTATTATTATTTACTATTTTATTAATTATTATTATATTTATTTTTATTAGGTAATATGAAAGCTCAACATAACTACCTTTGCAAGTTAAAGTTGATCTTAAAATTCAGGTTTTCAATAAATATGTAAAGATCCTTTTTATATAAATGTTGCATTTAGTTACTTGTGACTGTTAAAATTGATAATGAATGAATTGATAATTGAATGATAATTCAAAATTATAAAAACATGGCTTGAGTGAAAGAAAATCCTATAAAATGTGTCCAAGTTTGTATTTAATACTAGTGTATAAGTTCACAAGTGTCCTCAATTTTGATTATTGGTACCAAAAGGAATACTCAGTTTTATTAGCATGTGCTATTTTCGGTATAGAGATGCAGAATATGTTTATGCAATTATTATGTAATTTGAAAGGCAGTGTCTTCTCTGGAGTGCTGGGTTATTGGTCAATGGGTTATTTGCCCTTGTTCTTTTACTGCCATTTCTTTTTTTTTTAATTGTGAAAATACTGTACAGAGGGATTACAATTACATGGGTAAGATAATGAGCACATTTCTTATCAAGCGTTGTAGCCTCCTCCTTTGTTTACCCTTCCCATCCCTTCGTATCCCCCCCCACGCCCCCGTCCCCCCATCAAAGTTGTAAAGCTTGTTTTTCGACATAACAACTTGTACATCTCATTGTTGCAATGGGTCCTCCTGTATCCCTGTTTTAACAATTTGTTTTTTCCCTTCCCCTCCACATATACCAACATCATATATAGTGAAAGCAGGGGTTGTACCATGGGGCAGGGACATACAAGGCAACAAAGACATAATCTTACAATATGTTAGAAACAATCGCATGAAAGATCTCTCTCTCTCTCTCTCACTCTCTCTTTTTGTCAGTCGTGGGGCTTGAGCTCTAGGCCTGGGAGCTGTCCCTGAACAATTCAGCTCAAGGCTCATGCTCTACCACTTGAGCCATCAAGCCACTTCTAGTTTTCTGGTGTTGGTTTTTTTTCAATTGTGATTAAGTGATTACATAATTTCCCAAATTTCACAGTATTGTGGGATAATGATGCTCATTTAAAGTCACAAACTCATTCTAACTTTCCTGGAGCGAATTGTTTATCATGTTCTATAACATATAACGGTGTACACATATACACCATACATGTGATCAGCAGCATGGGGTTATTTAGTAGTGATTGGACCAGATGAGTGGAAGTTCTTTGTTTCTTAAGTCCTGTTAATTTTGTTGTATCACCTAACATTTTGGATTTAACA